GAAGTAATTAAATATAAAATGGGTCAGTTTGGTCTGATGTGGACTGTGCATTCTCATTTTATCAGTAATGGAGCTTGAAAGAATACGTTATGGAAATGTAATAATGCTCTAATAATATTTATATTTAAAATGCCTTTAAAAGAACATCAGGTGTGGTTATATGAACGTCAGCTTGTTTGCATTGTCTTCTATTTTAGCATGGCTAAGCACTTTTCACTTTTAAGATTTTTTTTTCTATTGTGTTTCTGGTGTGTTCACAGGCGGTTTGTGTTTTTTCACTCTGGGTTATCTTCTCAAAGAATGCGCATCTGTTTCTCCAGGAGAGCAGAACGAAGGGAAAGGAAAGCTGATCGCGATGCAACGCTGGCCCATCCTGAGTGGCCGTTTGTGTCACTTTGTAAAGTTTGGTTTATTTTCCTGCCTATTATAGAAAATGGGTTGGTAGCACAAATGTAAGGGCAATTTCAAGTGCGATCTTTATTTCTTTACCCGTTAGTTAGGCTAACTTCAGGATGTGTTACTACAAAAGGACTTCAAAAATTTGAGACAAAATTCCATTAGCATCCAATTCCAAATGTCCACGAACTTATGGAAGACCGCTTGCAAGTGATGTTGCAGTAGAAGAAATTCTAGTGGTTCCCAGAAATAGAATCTTAGAGGACTGTGAGCTTCAACTTGTAAAGTTAGAATTTACGTGAGAACAAAAGCTTGGAAAATTGGTTTAGAAAGATGCACACTTTTCTACCCGAAAGGTTCCGAGTGAATGTTAAGTGAGAACATTTTTGTCAGTTTACTCCTCTTTTTTTTTTTAACCTAAATCATTTGATTGGGAGCTCTTACCTATACTATAACAACCCATAATTCCATTAGATCAAGCATAATTGTACACTTGCTGCCATCTTTTTATCAGTTAAAAGTGACTTTACAATTTCTCTGCCACCCCCAAGCTTTAGTTCATGCTCTTTAAAGTGAAATCTTTTACATTCTGAAGTGTAAGTGTATGTCCACCTGTTGTTGTTCAGCGTGGGCTTGTCTCCGTGTACTTTAGCCCTGACTGCAAGCCCCCTCCTTCCAGAACCTGCCAGCAGCTCAGCCGAGCAGTCGGATGTATTGTGCCGTATCTGATCTGACAGGAAGACGGCCACCGAAGAGAAAGATAGCACAAATTGGTGCCACACGTCGATAAATAGAGACATTTTATTTTTCACCGAACTAATTCAATCCAGTTCAGTTCACTCTTTTTTGCCCCCCTGAAGAGGCAGCTCAAAAAAGGCAGCCATGAATGACCGAGTTCATCGTGAGTTTGACATCAGTGTGTGAGTGAAAAGCCGCCCACGAGGGAGGGCTTTCTGCCTTTAGAGTGCAGACAATACCCAGCCCCTGAGCCTGCTCCCTGGGCTCCCCTCTCCGCCGCTGGGGAGACCCGGTGGGTGGGACCGGGGCCTAGGCTCCCTCCTTATGACAGGTGCAGTGGAACTTGCTGTGCTAGCCACAAGTTCCCCTTCCAGTCTTGACCTGTTCTTTTGAATCAATCTCCCACACTCTCATTTTCCAGGTGGTGGTTGGATGTCATTGGAGTCCCATAGGCTAGAGCCAGGGGGTGGGATACATTGTTAGCTTGGCTGTTTCAATAAGATCCCTGTCACAGTGACTGTCCTTTAAAATCTATTATGACATTGACTTATATGGCCTTTGTTATTTAATAATTTCTTTCTGAGACATTTCTACATCCAGACTGTTGCTTATCCATCATGGACATCGTGGGATAATGGTGCTATCAGACAATTCAGTAAAATTTATGTGAGAAGATGAGCATTGTCCACAGACTGGATCGGGTCTGAGGGTCTCACCTTCTGCAACAGAGCCCCAAAAGGGCATTTTCCTTCCCTACTGCCTTGGGTTCCAGACTCTTCAGGGTATACAGTAGCCCCACCCACACCCCTGCCCCCAGCCACCCACCCAGCCACCCCACTCCAGAGCACGTGGCTATGAAATCCTCTGTCCTCAGTCAACCCCAGCTCGTGTCCATGTAGCTCCACGTCCTGCGTTTTCCATGAAGCAGGCCTTCAGTGGACTCAATGCTTTGACAGGACATTTAATTTCTCTCTTGATCGCTGGTGTGATGGAAGAGTGCCACCCTCTTAGCTCCCACGAGAGCAGTTCTGCCCGGGACTAACTCACAGGCAAGGAACTCTTTGTTCTTGTCGTGGTCTCTGTCCTGGGTGTTTGGGTTTCCCCATCGGAGCTTCCACGGATTCAGATCTGACTAAGAGCGGCCCCGGGGGGCAGAGTGGAACTGCCCCCATGGGTTCCTGAAACTAATTCTTTATAGGACTAGAAAGCCCCGTCTTTCTCCCAAGAAGCAGCTGGTGGTTTTGAACTGCTGACTTTGGGCATCGCAACCCAATGTATAACGACACCACCACCAGGGCTCCTGAGTAGCCCAGTATGTGTAACTTGAGGACAGGTTCTCGAGGTAGGCAACTCCCACACATTGCCAGCTTTGTAGACTTGTTTCTAAATGAGGAAACTTTCTAGGTTTGGGGTTCAGGGTTATGAGGATTAAATGAGTAAATACCAGACACAAATTAAGCAGTAAGGAAATGTTTCCTCAATGAAATAATTCATTGAATATGTTCTGTGTGTTAGTCATGGTGCTAAGTGTTTTTGTATTGTTAACTCCTTCAGTCTTCCCAACAGTCCTACGTGGTAGGTGCTGCTGCTGTCTCCATTTCCCAGATGAGGGCACAGGGGCACACTAAAAGTTAAAAAGATATATTTTGCTCAGGAACACACAACCAGTGTAGGACTTTGCTGGTGCAGGGAGTTTAGCCCAGATGTTAAAGAACACCGTAAAGACACATCTGGGTAAGTGGAGAGAAAATGTTTTGAGAATGATGAGGGCAATGAATGTACAAATGCGCTTTACACAATTGATGTGTGTATGGATTGTGATAAGAGTTATATGAGCCCCTAATAAAATGATTTAAAAATAAAAAAGACCTTGTTTGCAGTCAACAGTGCAACCACGTGTTTCTCCCTGTCCAAAACAAAGCAAAGTCAAGTCAAAGACCAAAACCAGTTAACCCAAAGGACAATGTGAATCTGAGCCTCCATGACCCTAACACCCAGAGAACTTGATGGTGCCCACCTACCAGTACTAACCCCTCTGAAAAGAATCATAATAGGAGGTCCTGGAGGAGCTGAGGGAAAATATAAAACAAATCTCCAAATATTTTTTTTTCTAATGCTAGGATTGCTGGTCTTATAGACTGTGGAAACCCTCAAACTACAGACCATAGAACCCCTTCAGGCTTGGTTCTGAACTCATACTCAGGCTCATCTTCCAACCGTGAGACCGACAGCACTACATGGTGAGCAGTAATGCCAGGAAAGTGCACAATGCTCAGAATAATCAACCATAAGAAACCAAAATGGCAGCGTTTGCCCACACATAAAACTCAGAGAGCAGCAAGCATTAGGAAAAAGGATATATAGAAATTGTAAGCTCAGGAAGAAAGTAAGATGCATGCTGTTACATTCTGGGAATTGTAATCAATGTCATGAATCAAAATGTGTATGAATTGTTGAATGTGAAATCAATTTTTCCTGTAAACCTTCCCAGAATTACAATAACAAGTCAAAATAAAATAAACACACACACACACACAAAAGACACAGCTGGGGAGTGTGGGAAATGTGTTGGCCACCAACACCTGTAACTGGCGCCGGGTAGGTACTTAAAACATGTTGCGTCCTTTTCTGTCATATCATCCAACTCTCCTGAAATGCTCAATTGCACCTTTAGTTCAGTAGCCAATTCTGCCGAGTCGAATCTTAGTCAAAACAAATGAAGCCTGGTCAGTGTAAGCCATTTGCTCCTGAGCTGGCTAAAGTGAGCGCTCATGCATGAGTGCCCATAGGTGTTACTGCTTAGGAGATGCGGCTGGAATAATAAGAGAGGGTTCTAAAAGTTTACACAATGAAAAGATAATGGCATCTCCCCCACCACCACCACCAACTTTTTACAGCTCCTTCTCAGGATACCTTCTAGACTTTATTTATATTTAACATTTGTATTTTTGAGTGTAGCCCCCAGTGTTTTAAAAGTGCATTTCTTAGCATAGTTTGATCGTTTCCTTTTCACAGCTATAATAAAGCATTGGTCGTGAAAGAAAATCCCATTGGCTTTTTTCTTTTCGTACTAATAAAAAGGTTCCTGTGCACAGCCACGCCTGTAGAGGGTTTAATAGCTACCACTCTCAAGTGCTGGGTAAGAATTAAACTTGAATAGCAACGATGAAATATCTACTCATCGGATGGCTTTGATGTTAGCTTCTTTCTGGTCTCAGTCCCCTCCCTGATGGACAGGTTTCAAAGAAGAAAATGATTACAGCTTTCAGCTGTGATGTTTCCTTATTCTCACCATGGAAGAAGTCAATCTGTTTTGTTTTGGGCCATTTGGGTCTTTACATTTTGACGACTGACAGAAATGGTTCATACAACTCTGAATTCACTCTCCTTGATAGGGTCATGAATTAAGATTCAACTTTTGATGCCTGTAGCCTTTCCAAAAGCTTGTACTATCAACTCTTTTATCTTGTCTCCTCGTAACCTAGATGGACGTAGTACTCCGTGGTTTTACATGAGAAGGCCTAAGGTGAGTGACGTGTGTGTGAAAAGTGAGTACTTAAAAATAGACAACGGAGCTTTCTAAAGCCTCACACTGGGTCACACTGATTGTTTCCGTCTGTTTGAAACCACACGTACTTAGTGGCGTGCCTCTTCTGTTCTGTTAATGGCAGGGTTTCCTCGACAGTGGAAAATGAGAGCGGCTTTTTAAGAATGTTGAGTCATTTGTTTTTCTTTTACATTTTGGCCGAATAGTCACTCTTCTGAACTGTTTAGGATTTCAGCAATTGTTACTGCAATATTGATTGAAAAACATTCTTCCCATGTGGATTTTTAACATGATGTTTGTCTTTTTTTTTTTAACTCAGTTTTCATATGAATCCGGCAAACAATGAAGACCTCAGGAAAATCTTGGTAAGTTCCTGAGGGGTTAAAGAGTTACCCAAGCCCCTCTCCGAGCCCACAGTCTTCCTGACTATGCCCTCATTTACCCAGCTGCGAAAGAAGGCGAGCAAAATGCAGACATTGTCTTGACGTAGGCGAAGGGGACGTCTCAACTGCATTACATACGAGAGTTCAAGCAAACATTATGATGATCACTGAAGCCAGTTCAGAATATGTGTGTGTCTGCGTGTGTATAGACATAAATGGTTTGTTTGTGGACTTTTAAAATTAATATGAAAATCTATTCTAAGGTCAACATCATTATGAAATAAGAGCACGTGGGGAAACTTTAACTTTTTTTGTTGTTGGGACAAGAACTGAAATAGGAACAGAGCTGCTTGTTAACATCCAACAATAGGAGAAACCTCCCGACAAGCGACCCAGTTAACCAGGAAAGCATTTGGAAGAACCTTTAGGCCGTGTATCTTCCTAGTCAAGGCAATGCCAGATGGACCAGGAGGCTTGGTGATGGCAGCTGGCAGCAAGAGTGAGTGACCTGTTACATCGAGTAGTTCAGGTGGAGTCCAAAACCTTCCGTGTGCTTTATCGCTGTTTGGAGCCCTGTCTTGGCTCTTCCTCCAGCTTTCCATCGCGTGTATTAATCCTAGAGAGTAAGTCACTTTCCAGAAACCCCGGGCAAGTGTTCCTGGTAGAAGGCTAAGTTCTTACTGCCTCGCAGAAACAGGACCTTTATTCCATGAGGCCTCTGGTGGCTGTTTGAGCCATCTGCCCATGGTGTGTGTGATCCAGATGTTTTAATAAGAATTTTTTTCTAAGTGATAACATATCAAAATGTTCTATGATGTGATCTGACTGGCAGAAACCCTAGTGGTGGTGTAGTTTATTTTATAAATGAGACTAAATGTAGCTATTTCTTTTAAAACCGTAGAAAGCACTCTAGAAGCATAGGACTTTGTACTCTGGGTTGGTTTTTTTTCCGTTTTATGTAAATGATTTGTAAGTTTTGATGTTTCATAAATACGTGAGTCTTTTAATATGGCAGTCTAGCAAGAAATGTCAGAAGATATGAAGCCGGCCTTTGATCAGATAGTAAAATGCATTCTATCAGGGAGTTACTTAATCTCGAACAAAACTGCAACATCAAAAAAATCGATTTAATGTGTAGCTATTGTTTATTAAGTAACCTTAATTATAATTTCTATGTGCTTGTAAATGCACTTTTCTAAATCTTGTAATTTATTGCTGTAAGTGCATCCTTAGCATTCTTTAAAGAAATAAAATGTGAAAATTGTTTTAGTTAGAGGATTTAAAGGTGATAAAAGACTCCTTGATGTGTGATTACTTTTCTCCGGAATACTGACTATTCTAAATGACAGTTAAAGGATTACTAGGTGCTGTTAATTTACTGCAAGATACAATTAAGAGGAGAAGGCGAGTCCTCATTCTGCTTCTTTTTTTTTTTTTTTTGAGAAGTATTTGGACGATTTTTATGTGGAAGATTCTGAGATGTTTGAAGTCATTTACATTAAATCCTCTGATAATAGCCAATCCACCAAGTTTTTTTTGTTGTTGATTTTTTTTCCCCCTCCTTCTGGACATAGTATTTTGTAATTAAGTTTGTATGTCTTCTCTGCTAGTGCCAACACCTGTCTGTGAAAGCCGAGTGTTTAAACAGGAGCAGTAGCCAGTTGAAAGGGCAGTGTGAGCTCTTTAAGGCCTAATTAAGAACTGAAAGGGAGATGAAGGGAGTGGGACAAAAGATGTGAAAGTGGCTGGGATGATGTTCCCAGAGCAAAGTTCCTCATTAGAACAATAATGAGATGATCAGAGAATGCCAAGCCTTCATCCTATCTCTCCCTCTCCCTCTCCCCTCCAGTTGCCCAGGATGTCCCTTACTACTTCACCAATATTTGGTTGCCAGGACAACCTTTCTTTAAATCTTCAGTTATTTTGAATCCTGGTAATTCGCTTTTGTTTAAATTTAAGTAATTGTCAAAAATATATATGTGCTTGCATATGTACATATACATTTACATAAACACATACACTTCCTAATTTAAAAGGCTAGACAATATGCGTACAGTAAAAATATACCACTAGTAATTCTCTGACTCTCCCCTCCCCCCATGACTATATGATTTTAAAATTCTGATTTAAAAAATGTACTGTAATACTACTTTTATTCATTGGCTCGGTCCACAGTTTTTAATCTCTGCATATGAAAAAATTTTAACAAAGGTTGGGTAGGCATGAAAGAGCACTGGTTGTAGATGGAGAAGCGAGACTATTTAGCATGAGATTTTAAAAGAAGCAAACATCTTAAAAACACATGTGCCGTCTCTGTGGACTACTGTAGGGAAGAATCCTGAGAACTTGGGGTCCATTGGAGGCTGACTATTTAGTCTCCACCAGTCTGGGTGGGGGTTTAAGAGACTTTTCAAAAATCATATTAAATGAACAATTTTGGAAGAAAATAAAAAAAAACCCAAGCACCTGAAAGTTTTCATCTCTAAGTAAAATAATGTTTGTCACTAGTAAGTCTTTCCTAATATTGATATTCTCGTTATTTTGTTTGGGACGATAGCGGTGAGCTATATATTCAATGGGTATACCAGTCAGTTTAAAAATCTTTGGTCGAAAAATAGAAGGTGTGCGTGGTTCCCTAATCTGAGAATTGTCCAAGCATAAAACTGTTCTTAATTATTTCCTGTTCTTTTCCAGAATATAGTTTTTAAGTACACGTGCTTCTAAGATGTTTTCTTGCCCAGAAACTTGATGTAGAAATTTTCACAGAAAAATAAACAAATGGAACAGCGACTGAAAAGACCAGAATTGTATTTTCAGGAAACCCGCCAGTGTTCTGCTATCAGATGGCTGTGGAGGGAAACACCTAGCACATAATATCTCTGTGTCTCGTGGATTCCTGCTCTCCAGTGTTCAACACGATTCTGGGATAATGATGATTTTGAGAGATTACGTACATGGTTAGCGTGCTACAATACCATGGCATTAACTTAATTTTAAAACTATTTCTGTCAAAATAAGAGTTTTTTTGATAGGCTTTTTGTCCCCCATGTGTTGAAAAGGGGGACTTAATACATTATCCAATAGTACTGGATAGTGTTAAAAACAATAGTGCAAGTGAATTTTTGACTTTATATCATCACTTAATTAGTTTAGAGAAATCAGTTCCTATATGGATAATTTGATTAAGAGTAGAGAAATTAGAGCAGATGCTATTATTATGTTAAATTAAAAAGTTTAAAAGCATACAGCAGTCAACTAATTATTAATGAATTCCATTTAGTTTAAATTCATTAATCCCGGTGATTCTCAAAGAACGCTCCTCTTCAGCAGATCTTTTATTGCATCCACAGTGGCTGGATTTTTGTTACTCTTAGACATGTCGCTCAGAAAATTCATTTTGTAAATCAGGGGAGGTTAGTGTTGAAAGGGCCCTTGGCGAACATCTCGTTTACCACATAAGGACGGACAGTGAGCCCTCGTTGGTATATCTCTCAGACCTGTGCCGAGTTAAGCTAATGTTAAGAACTGTTTGACCATTTAAACTTAAAAATATATACAGATTTGATCTGTGGCAGGTCCTATCTTTTTAATGATAACTTGCTTAGCGTATTAAATGATGGGAGTAGAGTTAGGGAATTTTTTAATATGAATGTGATTCTACATTGTCCATGACCAATTCAACAAACTACTAAAATTGTGTGTGTAGATTTATTTTTTTTCAATTTAATTTTATAAAAATAAAATGATAAACTGCTCCGAATACAAAGTTAACCAATATTTGTGTTTCCCTCAGAATTTTTATTTAATTGCCTTAGAGCAATATTCTGAAAAAATATTTAGGGATAAAGGTACTATAACTCATAAAAAGATATTTGTTCCCAGTGTGTAATGCTCAAATGAGTTCTAAATGCGTCTTAGGAAATTCAGAGTGACTCCTGTCCAGTTTTCACTCTCCGATCCTGCCCCTTGAGTCCAGTGTCTCTTAGTTTCAGTCGCCCTCGCTCTTCTCAGCCCCTCATCCCTGACCCAGCTTCAGCTAATCTGCCGGTGCTACTTTAATTCCCCTAATCATAACGTCACCCACGTCACTGCCCTGCTTAGAAACCTCCAGTGTCTCCGTGCTTTCTAAAGAAGTCCGAAGACCCATCACAATAGAATTCCACATCCTCATCCTCGGTGGTGATCTCTTTGCCATGCGAACATTTCCGTCTGCTCGTTCCCTCCCTCACCTGTTCTTTATTTCCCAGCTGTGCTCAGACAGATCACCTGCTCTTGGCCGCTGTGCCTCGAGCCTTCTTTCCCATTTGATAAAGCAGAACCTACTTACTGTGTGGAACTGCCTGCCGAAATCTTTGGAGAGCTCGTCAAATGGTAGCTTTTGTATAACACTCGAGACCCTATGGGATGGAGAAGTGTTTTCAACCATGTTGATGTGTTCGTGGGTTGGTTGGTTGGTTTTCCCTTTTTTTTTTTTTTTCTGGTGAGAAGGGCGTGCCTATACTCCAGTGGTAACCCTCATACCTGCCTGATAGCTGGACCTTCGCTGCCTCTGTTTCTCTGGGGCTGGCAAAGACCCTCTGTCCCAAGACATCTTCAGGAGTTGAATTTTGCCTTTGCTGATGAGAACTCCTGGACACGCAGCACAACTAAAGCAGATCCTGCGTATGAGAGGAAACGAGATTGCAACCCTTTACACACCCACCCACCTCCCAGAAAAGACCCTCCTCTCCCCTTCGCTGCATGGATCTCAGTTTTTAAAACTCAGAAAGCCAGTTTCCTTAGTATTTTGTGGTTTTCTTTTCCTTTCTCTTCTATTAAAAGATCATTTTATTGGGCGCTCTTACATATTTTGTGTTTTCTTTAAAGCCAAAGAGCCCTGCTAAGTTGTTGAGTTTACAGCTAGAACTATTTGCAAAAAGGCACAAACCTTATGTAGGTGCATTGTATTTCATGGAATGAAAAATCAAAATACTACATATCTGAGTATAAAATATATACATATATCTGAGGCTCCTATGACTTCTTTTTTCCCCCTATGACTGTTTGATAAATTCTTCTGTAACCTTTGTTTTCACATTAATATTAGTGTGCTTTAAATAAAAAAATAAATTTATTTGAGGGAGACTTGGGGAGTATATTTATACTTTTGTCTAAGAGGAATTTTTATCCAAAAGACCAGGTTCCAAAATAAGTAAATGAAGTGGGAGAGAATGCAAATAGATGGGCCCTAGATATTAACACGCTTCAGGTTGGACTCTTGAGTTTCGTGATAACAAAGGAAAAAGGGGCAATAAAATTAAGTCACTTAGCTCTTAGTACTGGATGGTGGAAATGGGTCAGTGAAGTTACTCAGGGGAGAGAAAGCTCCTCCTGCCTCGGAATGAAAACAGAAGGGAGCCCAGTGGGCTTTTTATAAGCCACTCATTGACTTGGTTCCGAATGCCTTTAGCATTTCATAGCAAACGCAGAAGCAGACTTGGCACGGATGCTTCTTGTCACAGTCTCTAATAAAAAGACAAAGGCCTGGCATAAAGCCACATTTCCGAAGAAGCAATTCCACGGGGCGAATGCCATGTCCATCTGTGTAGTTCAGTTTTCAGGGGCTCTTGATCATTCCTTGAGTTACTGCTTCAAAATCTTCCATTTTCATCATGGTTAGTTAAACGTATGGTAGGACACTTTAAATTTAGGCTTTATAAATAATGAGGATTAGTCAGTCTCTGATAATGAGGAAATTATCCATAGGGTTTAAAACAAAAAAAGGGGGTGGGGCTGAGAAGAATCCAGAATGATCATCAAAGCGTTGGTGCACCTGTCAGCCCTGGCTCCCCAGTCTGAATGGTCACCTTAGTTTTGGCCACAGCCAGCGTCCCAGTGAAAAAGCCCCAGTTGTTGCTCCAAATAATCCCTCCTGTCTGTCCCCAGTACCACAGCGGCCCAAGTGACCATCTGTCTTCTGTTCTAGGACAGCAACCCTTTCGATGCCACTGCTGGATACCGCAGCCTGACCCATGAGGAGGTCCTCCAGGAGCTGGTGAAGCACAAGGAGCTCCTGCGGAGGAAGGACACCCACATCCGGGAGCTGGAGGACTACATCGACAACCTCCTGGTCCGGGTGATGGAGGAGACGCCCAGTATCCTGCGAGTGCCCTACGAGCCCTCCAGGAAGGCAGGCAAATTCTCCAACAGTTAATCAGCCAATCTGACTGCCTGTGTCATTCGGACGCAAACAACAGAGCCAGAAGGGAGAGGAAAGGAAGAACAGAGAAAGAGAATGAAAACTCTGCCCTCTGAAGAGATGACACTATCAGGTTTCATCCCGTGTACTTCCGTTTCATGTAGAAAAAGGAGTTCGCCTATACATATTAGCAGGGAACTAGCAAAAGCGTGACCTTGGAAGTGAGTTAAATAATCGAAACTTCCATAGCAATGGGCCGGCATCTCCGTGAATAAGCTGCCCCTTAGAATTCACTTAGGTGCTGGTGCTGGCCCACGAGCCTACCAGGGCCCCACTGTGGCTTCAGAAGGACATGACTCAATCCTCAGGAACTGATCTCCACCGAGCAGGATGGACAGCATCCATTTGTCGACCCATTTAACTGCCGGAAGGCTGCGTATCATAAAAACACTACTAAGAAGAAACACCGTCTTTTATACACATATGTACGTACGTACATGGATATATGCCCATGTACCTTGGTGTATAAAGTACATGCATATACCTCAAACATGATGTGTTTTTAGAACAGAACAAAACAGGTTGCCTCTAAGGTTGGGATACCAGGTACGTGATTGGAGAACACTCGGGGTAGAGCAAGCTGTCTTTACTAGGATTGTGGATCGGCGCACAGATACGGCCTCCATGCACATGGCTACACGAAGCTCGGTTGCAAGATGAGCTGCTCCACATTTTCCCGGCATCCAGCGTTTGCTCTTTCACTGAGAGTAGTGACCCCATACACCTTTCTGAAAGAGGAGCAGGCGATCTGGCGAAACATCTAACTTCTCGACAGCATGAAATTTCTCTGAATCGCTTTTTTGTTGTTCTTAAATCCTCACGCCTTGAGTTTTGTTCAAGCTATAAGCTAACGATCAGCTCGTGTTATCTGTGCCGTGGGGATTCTGCATGCCATTAAATCCCTAGTAAAGAAAATATTAGCCAGTTGTATCTGAAAGACAAGTTGAGGGGAAAATAAGGTAGGTAAATCATCTGATGGCTGATTCCCCAAAGCACCGGGCAAGTTCTGGGAATGAATTAGGCTTGGTTTCCAGTTCCATAAACGAGAGAACAGATGGCTGCCTTTGACTTTGGGTCCCGAACCAAAACAAAAGGCGCTCAAGGAGGAGGAAGGTTTTAGGATGGCAGACACTACCAGGGTGACACGGCACACAACACTATACCACCCTTTAAGGATTCATTTTTTTATGGTGAAATGTCTGAACTCTTGAATTCACTCCTCAGAGATGTTCACTACTCATGAATTATCTTGGTCATAAGTGTTCAAACAATATGAAATTTTCCGTGAAAACCAGGGTATGAAACCAGGACTAATCACCTAGTGCTTAGTTTTCAACCCTAAAATATCTACACCACTTACTGGTGAAAGCTGGGGAGTGTCTGTGTGTTCACGTTTAAGACGAGAACTTTTACGTGGCCACGTACAGGTCCCACAGTCTTTCAGAGGGCCACTTCGTTTTCTCATGTGTCCCTTTTGGGACTTCACTGAAAGCAAGCAGATATATTTGCTTTATTCACTGTAATATTTTGAATCAGATAATACTAAGCCAATTCCATATACATAAGCTAAAAGTTCCTGGTTGCCTTCTTTTTTTTTTAAAGAGCCTCTGAATACATAATCTTAAAATTCTGAAAAAATTTTCCCAAATGTAAAAAATAATTTTCTAAAATTACGGAGAAAAAAAAGTAGTCTTTGCCACATTTCCCACTTTACATACAGTTAAAGTTCTGTAATCTGAATCTGAAACTAGTATAGAATTTTATTTTCTCATTGGACATTGTAGTACTTTGTGGTTTTTGTTGTTTGTTTGTTTTTAACCCAGTGCCATTTTTTTACTAACCTATGCTAAATAGTAACAGGATTCTTAGCATTTGGATTTTGGGTTATTTATATAATGAAGGCAACCTATACTTTTTTAAATACCCAAGTTAATGGATTTCCAGTATTATGACATATCTGCTGACATTATAATCTATTCTGACCAAATTTTCTTTATAAAATGAAACAAGATACCAGTTTTGTATTGGGGGCTGGTTTGATAGGAACAACCCATTAAAAGGAATGGTTCAGGTGCAGCTGTTCTTTTTATGAGGAAATGCATTTTGAAAGAGTGACTCTTTTGCCTCCATTTGAAACCAAAAAATAAATATATAAAAATAAACATCAAGGATAAAACAGTGATCAGGAATCGCCGTTTTATCTTTAAATCTGAGACAAGTATTGCATTAAAGGCCGAGTCCACTTTTAGCATTGCCTGAAGTCCTGTCCCAGGGCTTACGGATTTTCACTGCTGACCGAGTAGAACATACTAGCTGTTTTCATAATCCATCCATATAATAAACACGCCATGTGCCCACTGTGTTTGGGTGGAAATACACAAAGGCCGTTGTCTTCATTTCTCCTGTGACAGGAGCGGAACAATAGCCCCAAAGATCACCAGGGTTTATTCTCGCAAACCCTAACTTTCAAGTCTGGTGCCGGTACTTTTGTCAGTGGCGTAGGGGTGGAAAGACAGCGCGCGCATGCGTTCAAAGCGTGCTCAGCAGGACACTTGCCAACATTCTTTTTGCCTTTATGTAAAAGCATGTGTGCTCAACAGCATTTCACTCTAGGAGGATGTTTTAGAAAACATATTTCTCTCCAACCTCAAGCTCTTGTTTTTTTAAAAAAAAGTATTAACCATATCAACTCTCCCACCCACCTCGCCCCTTAAAACCCAGCCCTGAAAGTATTGACCGTATCGTCCTCCCACACTTGTTCCCTGGGAGTACCAGGGTATATTTCCGAGTTGTGGGAGCGACGTGTAACTCATTCATGAAAACGCCAAGTATTTCGACTTGCTGCGCTCGCCTGCCTCAAGTCAAGTTTGCTGTCCTCCAGTGAACGGAGTGTTCTCTGTAGATTACACAGAACCGCGTCTATTGCTTTTGGCAGTAAATCAAGATTTCGTTGTAATTTTCCAGCTGTGAAAATGTTGCCTTTTATTGTAAAAGGGTTTTCATGAATGGAAACCTAAAACTAAGCTTATTAGTGACAGGCCGGCTTCTCTCCCATCCTTCCATCACCACCCCCACACCCACTTCCTACAACCCCCCAAAGGCGCTTATTCTTTAACCCGGAGAATCTTAAAAAGAAGGGGGGAAAGGGGTGGGGGTGTGTGGATCTGCTGCCTTTAATAGATCCATAGTAATTGTTACACTAGAGCTTTTATTTGCCTCTGGAGCTTTAGAAAAAGCAACCACGGATTTGTAAGCCAAGCTGAAACTTTTTGATGTCCACGTACTCCGGTACTCATGTCTTAGCAGTCAGCTCGGTGTTGCCCGCGCGCGCGCTTGCGCAGTGACAGCATGCTCGTTCACTGGGTTTGAAGTTAGGTGAAAAGCGTTGCAGTGCTGCTGCTGGCCGGGAGAGTCCGGGAAAGCGTCTGTCAGCACACGCGGAGAGCCCCCGTTTTCACAGACAGTAACTTTAATCATCCAGATGCAATCATGGGAAGTATGTAATATGCAATAGGTAGCACCTTAACCAATTAATCTCCATACGAAGGGTTTTCTGATGTATTTAATAAGTGTAGAAACTTTTCAAGCATTAAACTAGAGTTGACGTTTTATTGCATTTATTTTCTATGTCAAAACAAAAACCCGCGCTTACAAAGCAATTGAAGTCTGTAACCCATGATACATTTGGACCTCTTAATCTTGGAAGCTTCCAGATGGTTTGTATTTTCGAGGTACAAAAAAATGCTGCAGATCTAGGTATGTGTATATTTAGTAGGTACGTGGACAACATAAGCTTTATTACTGAAGAGTATTGTACTTAATCTTATTAAGCAAATTATCTTAATCACTTGTATACATTTTCGAGTTATAAACTCCCAAACACGTAAGCATTGCATAAAGTGACGATTGTATAATTTATGTAATCTGATGCATGAATCAGAATTTTTATATAATATATGGTTATTGGTTTATTATCATTGATTAAAGTGTTTGATCTTACTTCACTTGTCAAGATTTCTTCTCGGCAGATAAAAAGTGGTACCACACACTGCAGGATGCAAACCCTGTCTTTCAAAAACTTAGTATGCCTCTCACTTGATATTGTACAGCAAATGCTCCATCAAACTTACAACCTGCCTTCATTGGGGAAACTCTCTCCCATGAAGAGTCTGAAAAGTCATTCAGCGAACAGTGTCTTTGTTATTGTTGCTAGCTGCTGTGGAATCAGTTCTCACTCACAAAGACCCCCTGTGCAACAGAACAAAAGACCCACCCATCGAGCAGTGTCTTTATGTTGGAACCCATTCTTATGTGCCAACCCATGTTGGCACAGCCACTGTGCCAATCGATCCCAATCGAGGGCCTTCCTCTTTGTCACTGCCCCTTCATTTTACCAAGCATGATGTCCTTCTCCAGGAACGAGTCTCTCCTGTCCAAAGCACTTGCGACAAAGTCTTGCCAGCCACCATTGCCTCTCAGGAGTGTTGGCTGTACTTCTTCCAAGACAGGTTGGTTCCATGGCACTTTCAATATTCTTTACCAACACCATAGTTCAAACGCATCGATTTCCTTGTCTTCCCTATTCAATGTCTAATGTCATATGCAAGTGAGGTGATTGAAATATTATTGCTTGGGTCCGGAGTACCATAATCCTCAAAGGGACATCTTTGTGCAGGAAATTTACACAATGCAATTCATCATTTGATCTCTTGACTGCTGCTTCCATGAGGATTGTGGATCCAAGCAAGATGAATTCCTTGACAGCTTCAATCTTTTCTCCCTTACCTGGTGGTTCGGTTGTGAGGATTTGTGCCCTTATTACATTGAGTTGTAATTCATTCTGAAGCCTTCAATCCTGGGTCTTGCATCAGCATGTGTTTCAAGTCATCACTGAGCAAGCAAGGTCATGCTATCTGTAGATCACAGGATGTTAAAAATCCTCCCAATCCTGATGCCGCATTCTTCTTCATATAATCCAGCTTCTCTAATGATTGGCTGAGCATCCAGACTTCTTAAGTATGGAGAGGTTATGCAACCTTCACACCCACCTTTCTTGATTTTAAACCAAGCAGTAAGTCCTTGTTCTGATCACACAGCTGCTTGATCCAGGCTCACGTTCCATAGGAGCACAATGAAGTGTTCTTAGAATTCCCATGCTTCTCACGGCTGTCTATAGTTTGTTATGATCCACACCGTTGAATGCCTTTGCATAGTCACTGAAACACAAACACCTTTCTGGTATTCTCTGCCTTGAGCCAAGATCCGTCCGTTGTTGGCAATAATATCCCTCGTTCCACTTCCTCTTCTAAATCCAGCTTGGACCTCTGGAAGCTCCCCATCAATATACTGCTGCAACCATTGTTGAATGATCTTCAGCAAAATTTTACATGCCGATAGTACCTGTGATCTTTATAATAATCACATTCTGTTGGGTTACCTTTCTTTGGGATGGATACCAGTATGGATCTCTTCCGGTCAGTTGGCCAAATGTCTTGGCATAGACGAATGAGTGCTTCCAGTGCTTCATCAGCTTGTTGAAACATTTCAATCGATATTCCAGAGTAGTGTCTTAGTGCGAGCCTTCTTGACGGAAGATGAGAATTCCCTTTCTGTAAGGCACTGTGCATAACACTGACATCAAGTCCATTCCAACTCATCGCCAATGTGGGGCAGAGGAGAGCTGACCCACAGAGCTTCCCAGGCTGTATGTCTGCAGAAGCTGACTGCCTCACCTTTCTCCCGTGGAGCAGCTGGTGGGTTTGAACCAGCAACCTGTTAGTGTCGTAAACATGCACTAACTTGTTACTTTCTTAAACTGCACCACTAAGACTCTTTACTGTGCTTAGGATGTGAGAAGAAATAATGAGCAAGATAAGCTCATCCAAGGGGATGAGTTTATGATTTGGTTGAAAAGGACCTTTTGAGCATTCACATATAGGTTAAGGTCTTTTATCACATGCTTTTAAAAGTATTCCTCGTATCCCTGACAGCAACCCTGTAAGATCTGGACTGTATGAGGTGGCTTGACAATTTTTTTCTTTTTGGAAAGATCAACAGATACATTTTCCCACTAGCTTTTAGAAGCGCCTTTGTATAAGCTTTCGGAGGAAACGTAAAACAACTAATAGAGAAACCATTTGTGGAACCCAAAAGCTCACAGCTAGAGGTTGGGGGCTTGGCAAACGCAAAGCATCCATCAGCATGTTGGGAATCACTGCAGTCCTCAAGAGTAGCAATGGAGGAAGCAGGTCCGAGGTGACGTGAATGTGAATCTCTGCGTGGGGATCTGGTTTTGCACGCTGGCAGTGAATGGCATTGGAGGTGAGCTATAGCTCACACACAATCTTGTATATCAAGCAAAGACATTCATAGCAAGGCCTCCACTTCCCCTATCTACCTCCCCTAGATTGGTCTTCCCACCTCACCCCAACACATATGAGGGAGCTTCAAAGAGCTCATGGAAAAATGCCATGAAAAGATCATAGAATGTCTCCAGGAGCTTCTTGAAGCCCCTCATCTTTCTGTTTCCTTAATCTAATGGGACATCTGCATCGGGGGTCATGTCGAGTGAGGCTCCACTGTTGTTCTCTCCAAGTGGCTCTTATCACAACGACCCGTGTCTGTCTCGGAGAGGTGGCCGTTTACTTTCCAAAGTAATAAGCTTATGAGCTGGGTGTCCAACATTTGACAGTTTTCCCCAATAAATAATATTACATGACAATTCCGATCTCTCACTTCTACCCTTTAAAAAATGTTTATACAAGGCTAAGGCCTTTCAAGCAATCTTGTTATAGCTGTACCATTACACGAAATGGAAGTGCTTGATTATGCTCACCCTCTCACCCCCTAAAACTTGACCCTTGAATTTCAGTGGTTCCATCATTATGCCAAAATGCCAGAATTGAAGCTGGGAAGTACAGAATTGAATTTCTTTATGAGAGGTTTTCAAATATGGTGTGTTGTGGTCAAACGTAAGATAGGGGCCAGTGAATCACTAATATGAGTGCCCGAGTTGGCAAATGACTTCTCTGTATAAATTAGACCAGATTTTGGCCCTTCCTGTGTTGCGCCCAGTCTAGTATTTCCATGTGGAAGGACAGAGAAGTGTGGAAGTGACACTCCAGCTTACAGTTCCCAGAAACCTTCCCTTAACATGGGGATTCCAAACTCCAACATCGCCACGACTGGGCTAGTAAGGCCGGGGTAGAAGAAGCGGACTCACTAAGGAAGTGACCAGGAGCTAAGAGGAAGCGATGATCACTCAGCTCCAGCTGCAGTGTGAAAA